CCTGCTTTTCACAGAGGACGTCAAGGACTAGCCTCTCCTGACAACTTGTGCACAGTATGTGAGACAGTTTCACCATCTTTGCTTCTCAGGAGCACTCTGGTTGCACTTCCTTCAAAACAAACTGGTTTGTTCTGGCAGTTAATGAAATATTCAGTAATCTTATCTAATACCACGGCCTAAAGGCATCGTCCTTGTTCATTTGCAACTTGCAGATGCATAGGAAGTAATGTAAAGACCCTACCTTGGATCAGGCCCACTTAGTCTTTAAATGGATTTTGTTGCTCTTTACAAGATCTGCCCAATGCAACACATCTTTTGATTTATTTACTGCTGTTACCACAGGTGTTGATTGTGGATCCAAGTAAAATTAAATAGTTGACAACTTCAATGTTCTCTCCTTCTATTATGATGTTGTCTATTGGCCCATTGGTGAAAACTTTTGTTTTCTTAATGTTGAGATGTAAACCATATGTAAGGCTTTGTTGTTGTTGTGTTGTGCCATCGAGTCGCTTACTTTACTCTTTGATATTCTGCAGAAAGCACTTTAAGTCATCTTCACTTTCAGCAAGTAAGGTTGTATCATCTGCATAACACAGGTTGTTAATGAGTCTTTCTTCAATTCCGATACAACATTCTTTTTCATAAAATTCAGTTGAGGACTTTCGTTCATAGGGTCACTATGAGTTGCCTATGACTCGATGGGCACTTAACAACAACAACAACATAGAGAGAGATCATTTGGTCTCGTGGACAGAAAGTAATGCTACCAAACCAAAGGTGGGTGACTTTAATCCATGGCTCTGAGACTTGTTTTTAATTGTTTTTGGTCAAACACTTTTCTAGGTTGTATAGTCCTGGTGTGTCCACTTGCTGTACAGCGGTAACTTGTAGTTGCTGTGAAGTTGAACACTGTGACACTGATGTATCAAATATGATAACAGTTACCCATGGTAGACAGTGTTTGGTGGAGCTTCCCGATTAAAACAAGCTTGGAAGGAGGAGTGGCATCCACTTCTGTAATAGCTTGCCTCTGGAAACCCTATGAACCTGGAGAAAGGATGAAAGTCACACAAGTGTTGAGGACTTTCATTCATAGGGTTGCTACAAGTAGTCTATGACTCGATGGTACTTAACAACAAACAAATTGGATAGGTATGGAGAAAATACACAACCCTGATGCATACCTTTCCTAATTTTAAACTGTGCATTGTTTCATTGCTCTGTTCAGACAATAGTCTTTTCATCTCGGTACAGGTTCTGCCTGAGTACAATTAAGTGTTCTGGATTCACATTCTTTTCAATGTCAGCCATAATTTTTTGTGATCCACAGAGTCAAATGCCTTTCAACTTAGTCAATAACACACAAATAGACATCCTTCTGGTATTTTCTGTTTTCAGCCAAGATCCATCAGAGATCAGCAATAAAATCCCTAGCACCTCAGCCTCTTCTTATTCCAGCTTATATTTCTGGAAGTCCTCCAGATTTCCTGGCACAGCCTGGTGAACATGTCCAGGGCATGGAATATGTCAATTGTTTTTCTGTCAATTCCTGGGGCCTTATTTTTCACCAGTGCCTTCAGTGAAGCTTGACCTTCTTTCATTACCATTACCATTGGTTCTTGATCATATGCTACTTCCTAAAATAGTACTATGTAAATCAATTCTTTTTGGTGTGGTGACTTTGTATAGTCCTTCCATCTTCATTTATTATTCAAAATTTTACCTATCACATTCTTCAGTGTTGCACCTAGAGGCTTAAATTTGTTTTTCAATCTTTTCAGCTTAATAAATGCCAAAAAACTTCTTCTCTTTTTATTTTCTTACTCCAGCTCTTTGCACATTTTAATACTTTCCTTTGTCTCCTTGAGTTGCCTTTGAAGTCTTTTGTTAACTTTTTAATTTTGTAATTTCTTCCCTTTATTTTAACTTCTCAATGTTCTCCTGCAATTTTCAGTTTTCTCTGACATCTGCTTATTCTTTCCCCCCCTCCTGTCTTTGTAATGACCTTTTGCTTCCTTCCTGAATTATATGCTTAATGTCATCCTACAGCTCATCGGGTCTTCTATCATTAGTGTTCAATGCATCAAACCTGTTACTGAGATGGTTTTAAAATTCAGGTGGGATAGACTCAAGGTCATATTATGGCTCTTGTGGATTTGTTTTCATTTGCTTCAGCTTCATTACTAAATAAATGTTTGAGGCTGTGGTAACATAATCTGTAGAGAGTTACACTGCTAACTCAAAGAATTGATAACTCTGAAAGTTTGCATTCACCAGCAGCTCCAAGAGAGAAAGAGGGGCATCACCTCCTATTATGAATTACAGCCTCAGAAACCCACTGTGAGTTGGAGGTGACTTAACAGCAGTGAGCCGAGGTTTTGAATTTTATTTATTAAAAGCAGGGTCTTTATGCAACTAAACACATTTTTTTTCTGATAATTTAAAACTCAGCTTAAATCTGATTATTTTAACAAGATAACTCTTAAATTCATACACAACCTACATTTCTGTGAACAAGAACTCAGAGCATGACGCCTTCTGTGATTGGGATAAATTAGGGATTATCAGACATTGCTTTCTAGACTTTATTTATTTATTTTGCATCTATTGAACTGAGGTATCACTTCAGAAACGGACTTTCTAGTGAGTCCGATTTTTCCTAGGTTGAGTGTATTTCCCAAATTGAACTGAGAGGATATTTAAACTTATCTTCTCCTGTGAGCTTTACTCACAGTATTTGACTATCCATTCTAAAAGAATGTCAATCACTAAATATTAGATACCTGGCTGTTTACTTGGTAGTCGTGATTAGTTCATGGATGTGTGTGTGTGTGTGTGTGTGTGTGTGTATGTTTTTGAGAGAGAGAGAGAGAGAACCGATATGATCAAGGTCTAGTTTTGGAGTTAAAACATGGCTGATCTCAAAACTGTAATAGAATTGATCGACATCATTTGGTACATTTATTCTTATTTCATTGATTTCCTGAGCCCACATACTGCATTTCTTGGCTATTCCCTTATTCATGTCAATTTCATGTGGCTGTCATAGAAGGAGAGTAAGTGGCTATGCTTTGAAACTACCTAGCAAACAAACATCAAAACTGTATAGGAACAAAAAAAAAACAGTCCCAAGAACCGATGCTAATCAGAATCTCAAATTTGTTCCTTGGCAGAAGTTGTTACTCGATGTATCAGAAGTTTGAATTTAGCTAAATTTGACGAGTTGAACTTAAACTTGCACACCTCACATTGTTCACTGAGATTTTATTAAATTGATTGCAGCTTGCCAGAAGCACAGTTTCCTGCCTGGGCTTGTTTATAAGGAACTCCTGTTTGTCCTCTGGTCTCATCCTATGACCTAGCTAAGTAATGAAATGTTGAAACCAGAGCTTCAAGTAGTTCATTCCTATTTGGCCCTAGAATTCAACTTAGAGCTTCCAACCAGTTCCTTCTAGTTTGACCTCTTGCTGAGACAATGGCATCATAGGGTTAAGGTCCCTAAGGGCAGTAAGTCCTGATGTTACCCCACTACCACCAATGACCCACCTCCTGTACAGCCCATACAGAATTCTTAGTAAAATTTTTCAGCAATTTTAGTCATAGAAAAATATGTGATAGAGTTGCAAATAGCTTAAATATATTATTTCATATATTACAGAAATATTAACAAGATTGTTTTCTAAAAACTGGATACTTAATTCCAACCTTATTACTGAATGTAAGTCTTTCTTGGTTCTCCACCCCCACTTCTTTTAACTAGTATTTCATTCCCAAAAAGGTTATAGGTTCACCAATATAGGTTCCTCAATACAAATTACCAGTTTTGTAGCTAAAATACTAAAAAATTTTATAAAATCAGCTACTATCAAACACTAACAGAAATTATAATACCAGCACATGCTTATAGCATATGTTGATGAAACTACGTGACCCAAAGCCTTATTATAGTTGGGTAATAGTGACAGTTTTGATCAGAACAGTAGAAGTTTCAAAAAGCAACTTAGCAGAGCTTTATTTAGCTTCATAGGTCTATTGGCTGGATTTTTTGTTCTAACTATTTATAGAGATAACATTTTGTGAAAAATTTTTTAAAAAGATCCTGAAACACTGCACAATAATATTACAGTCGTTTTGGTACTGCAATGGGTAGCGCAGTCAGAGGGACAACACCGAAATGATTGTAAAATTTTGCTCCCCACTCCCAAGTGTTGACATTGTACCGAAGGTTTAACTTTCCACCTCAGAAATTCGAAATCACAAAATAACATACTTGGATGATTTTTAGAGACATATACACACACACACACACACACACACACACACATCACCAGGGGATCTCATTAAAATATAGACTCTAATTTGGTATATTTAAGGTCGAGATACAAATTCTCCATAGGGCGTCAATCTGGAATGAACTAGTTCAAAGTCTTGATGGAAACTCACTCAGCTTCAGTTAAAAATGACCACACCCAGAGAGAGATGTAAAGTCTGATTTTAAAAATGGAGGTTTATTTCTGGCGATGAGCTCATGTTCAGTCAAAACAAAACAGAATAAAAACTCTACCACATTGAAATAACATTGGATTAATTTCATTGAGCTTTTAAATACAAGCATCCTTGACCAGGCCAGACACTTGTCTGTTTTGTACCCCCTGGGGGAAGGCTGGCCTTTCATTCATTTCAAAAGAGACTTCCTAACTGGATCCACTCCCTCGGGATGTGAAGCAAGACTGTATTCAGAGCCAAGTGTTTAAGGCCAAATTCTCAAGGTCACTCAAGAAAATGATGAAATTCAGTAATAAAGGACGTACTATGTCATTAATTTTCCACGTTTGCTAGAAGGTATTAATCTCATATGCAAATATTACTAGCATGTTGGCTTTACCTCTGGTTATGAAGATGTCAGTACATCTATACGGAAAGTTTTTCCTTCCTAAAATATCTTCACTATTGAAATGTGAGTGCCATTTAAAATTTCAGAAATGAAATTAATGTGTTACCTTCAAATGCTGGTGCTTAAGTTTTTCTTCTTCTATTTTCAGACGCTTCTGTGAGATTTCTTCTTGTATTTTCCTTTTATCCTGAAATGGGGGGGAAAAGTTCCAGCATAATTAATTTTTGCCAACTTGTTTAAATATATTTCCAAATTTTGTCAATTTGTTTAAATATATTTCCCTGGGGTTCTTACTAGCCAAATGGCTGACCAGAAATATATGCTCTTGGCATTTCTATGAGGTTGCTGTGGACTCTTAAATTTTGATGCAAGGGAGAGCAAACTGAGTCACTAAAAACATTTTGTTGTTTGAATATATGATTGGTTGATTGGTTTTATACACACACACACACACACACACACACACACACACACAGAGTTTTCAAGGAGACTTAAAATATTTTAATGTCTCTTTTTCCTACCCCTCCTTACCTCCTCCCCATTAGTCAAGTAAGATTAAGCTACTGAGTAATGCAATGGAAAAAGTGTATTTTTGGAGGGAATTTTGAAAGAGGCATGAGAAAACACTAATAGGACAGAAATGGTTCTGGCACAAAGCTCAAGCGTTTGCTGGATAAAAGCCTCTTTATGTGGAAAAACAGAATAGCTTATGGATCATTGGAAGACCAGGAAGGCAGAAGA